TGCCAAGAATACCTAATGACAAAAAGAATTAGAAAGGAACATTACTAATACAATCAATTACAAAAAGGAATCCTCACAGGAACCCAGATTTGTTTTGGTGGTAGTTTATTATAGAGGATCCCCCTTTACTAATCAGGATCCAACATTAAGAGCAATGGCCTCCAACCTAAGAGCAATGGCCTCCAACCTAAGAGCGATAGCCTCCAACCTACTAAAAGGAAAGTCCATGGAGTCCATGGCGGATGATGGAAGATGTTTGCTATTGCGTCGCTGAGGCACGCTGCATAGATTAGGAAGGCCAAAATGTAAGCAGCTCCGCAAACTTGTGCAAACACTACCGGACTTTTGCCTCGAAAAGTACAAAGCTTCTCGAAGCGTTCTGCGTCGGCGTTCGAGTCGTATTCCGTCCGAGTCTTTAGGGCATGCCTTCAAGGTCGGCATAGAACGCGGGTGCGTTGAAGTGAGCCATGAACGCACAAGAATAGATGCCAAAGCTACCTGCGCGGCTTGGCGCATTCCGCAAGGTTCCGGAAGGGTGCTGAGCGAGGCGCAATTAATGAAATCCGCAGAGAGGAGTAAGGCATAGTAGGGCATGGAGGAAACCATTCAACTTTCTTTTGCCAGTTTGAAAAGCATTGAACAACTATACTGCAGGATACCGTGGTGTGGGGATCTTGAAAGAAAGGTCCAAAGCAGGTGCTCCAGGGCCAAAGAAGCTTGATGTCGAAACGGTATCTCTGCCATATTTCGTGAAACACACCTTGATGCTCAAAGGGACTATATGATACTATATGAGTATATTAAAGACAACGCCCACCGTTCCTTTCATCTCAAGAAATGAACTGCCAAGGTGCGGAGGAATCCAAAGACATCTGGCCACTGAGAGGCAATCGGATCACCCTCCGTCACAATGTAGGACAACGCGTCCAACGTCACATACAAAAAAACATACCTTAAGCGCATCGCTACTAGTAACAAGTGCCTTACTAGTAGTAACAAGAAGCTATTAGAAACAAGTGCATGGCTATTAGTAACAGGTGCCTTACTAGTAATAACAAGAAGCGTTCAGGTCTCATGCCCCCTTTTCCATCCTTTTCCAAGGCCTAGGCTGCTAGGCTAGTGACGGCTACTGACACATCCCCAACCCCCCATTACAATGGTCAGAGCTTTGCCCCATGTCACTGAGGAAACAATAAACTTGCAGAAAACCCGTCCAGGGGACAATGTGCAAACAAGTCCAGCGATTGAAGATACTCGCAGAAGTGAAAATCGTCGCTTCAGGCACAATGGTATGAGCGCAAAAATCGTGACCGCGGCCACCAGCATCCGTCGCGACTTCAGCTCGTCTGGCAGAGATGGACACAAACCATTTACCTCCAGCAAATTGGCTAAGTTATTGATTGCAATGCTCGTGTGAAAAAAAAACGTCCATCAACTTGTCAGCCATGCAAGTTCTCTGGGAATCTGGTTGGCAAACCTGGAATATGCACACACAAACACACAAATAAAGGGCTGCAACATGATCTATTCCAAGACGGTCAAGCAACACTTTTCGCCATATAGTCGCCAATTAGTAAAGCAAATGCAACGCAGCTGAGCCCGGTGTCTACCAGCCTTGTGTGCCGGCTTCATTTGGTTTCAGCAGTCATTACTCTGTGCAAAGAGTGTATTGGATTATATATAGATTATTATAGATTGTTATATATCTAGATTGTTATATATCAGGCTTGAATCTTTCCAAGCGGCACAACGACCTCCACGAAAAAAACGCTTCCGGGTCCGACTGTTTTTCCCCACAGCCGAGGGAGCGTTTCCTTATGCAGCTCAATGGCATGACTGCTCAAAACAGGCTTCCTCAACAATGTAGCTAAGCCTCCGTGTTGGTCAAGTGTGCGCAATACCCGAGGAAAAAGAAGGAGGTGGCGCATAGCGCTCCACAAAGCATTAAGCCAAGCATTGCCTTGGATGTGCCAAAAAGGAAACCAGCGCTGTGCTTTGGCAAATGGCATGGTCTGATGTTGCACAGCATTGTGGCAAGCAGCTATGGATGGAGAGGCAGCTTCGGCCACAGCTCGTGGCAGTGTCAGCATGCCAATTCCAACCAGGGACCTGGTGTTTCATTACTGGACTTGCTCGTTTTGCAAATCACTTCAACAGAAAGAATTTCCAATGATAATTTTTGTAAATTGCCAGAATTTCAGCTGAGAGTGCTTGGTAGAACACTCAATACTGGGACATACTGGGACATGTGTGTAGCTTTCTACTAAATTATTTGTTTAGTTTAGGCTTTCAACATTGGGACGTCTCGTATCACTTCACAGCGTTTTACAGATGGACACTGTAGGACTGTAGGTGTCTTTTTGCAGGGTTCACACATCAACATCTGAATCTAAGGTCTAGGGTATACACCAGCAGGGTTTTAATGTTTTGACGTCCTGCATCGTTTAAGGAAGTTCAATTTCACATGTAAAAAGTGATTGACAATAACTTGAAAACCACTCATGTGTGATGAATACGATAAAACACTACTAGACTAAACATGCATTCAAAGGACAGGCGTGAACGCATGAAATTGCCTTCCTGACTTTGACACTCCAGTTTCTACATGTTTCTACATACCTCTGAGGGCCAGGCTTTGTAACATTTGCAACAGATACCCAAAAAGATGAAGACTCCGTTGATTCCCACGGGGGGCATGCACCCTTCTCCGCCTTCTCCGCCTCAATCCTCACTATTCAGGTTTGACCCCAGGCCACTCAAATTGTGCAAGCTCTGCTTACAGCTCATGCAACTGTGCACATAGCTCCTGCTTTGACTTAAAAGGACAGCATACTCTGGCACGTATGACTCATCGAAGCTGTCATCCTGCGGAACCAAAGCACTGCGTCTACTGGTCAGTACAGCTCATGCCAATGCTGTTTATGTCCCTTTGCAGCAACCTCAAGCTCCAAACCGGCAGCGAAACTGCTGGCAAAGCAATAGTTGTCCAACCTAAACGTAACATGCATGATCAGATTGGCCACCAAAAGAATGCTCAAGGAGTAAGGAAGGGGATATGTAATTGTAGCTTCAGGTAGATTGAGGGCACCTCTCGGATAAAGATCGTTGAATCCGGCGCTGAGGTGCCATGAAGCTGAGAAGTTTCAAAGGCCACTCACTATCGGTATGCTCAATGCTCCAAGCCAAAAAGTTATACGGCACCAGTATCCATCGGCAAAGCAGTCCCCTCGCAACAGCCAACATCTGGATACGACAGAGACAATCAATTGTCGACCAACGGGTGCGAAGGGTCTGCTAATCTATCCCTGCGGACGCGACACGTACAAATGTATACATCATTGAAAACCTCGCACAGAAAACTGCAGACCCTGTGCTTTGGGATATGCCAATGATGTTCCAATTGAAAAAATTGACTGAGACTCATATTGTTGGTTTAAAGGACCACGTTCCCACAGCACTTTATTATATATTCGTGCATTCTCAGGAGTAGCGCTCCGTCCGCTCTTATATGTATGCTCTCATTGTGCTCCCTGTACTTGTTCGTCGCTCTCATGTGTCTGCTTCAATACCAACGGTTTCTTAGAGTTGTTCGTAGAGTTTCCTGACGTTCTTCTGAGCGTTCCAGTGCAACAGAAGTGACAGAGATGTCAAAAACATGCACTTTCACAGCGTCCTGCTCTATTTTTTCGGGCGCTGTTTTCACAGACCCCTCAACGGTGATGATCATCACTGGTCCAGCGGTTTGCTTGATTCTTTCTGACCGGCTGTGTCTTCTCGAGATTGCAAATTGAAAGCCGCAGGGCCTCCTGAACATACTCACAGTACCAGAATGACATGCCATGTCTAGGGTTCCCTATTTTTAAGCCACCACATATGCAATTTCGTTCCTTTCGGCTTCTCTTCTTTTTCTGGATCTTTGTTCGTTGCTAAAGGCACTTCAGATTTCTTCCGAGTCAAGGGAGCGCCGATACGGCTATTCGCACTTGCCTTCTGGCAAACATGCCCTGCCTTCCTCCACCTCCCCCGCCTTTCTCTCCTTTCTTTGCTCTTCGTTTGTTAGGCCTGCTTCTCGAGGCTTTGGAGGTGGCCCTTCAGGCTCGCTTTATCGATTTTCTCCTCCCTTTCCCCCCCCGCCAGCCCACCGCACCTTTCTTTACTGTTTTTTCCGTTTGTTAGGTCTGCCTCTTAGGCTTTTAAGGTTAAGTTTTCTGGTTTCTTAGTCAAGGGAGCGCCGTTGCGGCTTCATGTCTGCGTGTCAAACCCTGTTCCTAAGGGATCCACGCATTTCCACCGTACAGTCAAAGCAGGGGAGTGGAGCAGGCCTGCAGAGCTCCACTTAACAAAGCTCTCTGCAGTGCCCTGAGGATATCACTGGAGACGCCCAGTGACGTACCTGCATTCCTTTTTTGTGTTTTAGCTGTCACACCAATCTTCCTGCAAAGTGCTAGTGAGCGTGCTCCATTTCTGTTCCTCGGACTCTTTCGCCATTCTGTTCCCTCAGCCAAGGCCTAATTGCAGTAACTCTCGATCTTCCACTAAGTGTGTGTGTGTGTCCCACCCTGGACAAAGGGTTTTCCACCACCTTTTCTCCACAAGCAGGGGCGCACGGCATCCATGACCTACCGTGTGCAACGAAGCTGCGGTCATGGATGGGAAGGGAAGGCTGATCACCTTCCTGTACCTGCTTTCAACACAATGACTCCACTGGTCCACCCTGCCGCTGTTCGTTGTTTTCATGGTCCTTCATGTTACCACCCCCAAACCCAATGCAGCCTTACAGCTGACTTGCAGCCGCGCTGAGTGTCCGATCGTCTTTTCGAGCGCCACTGCAAACAAAGTTAAACCATACTGTTTTCACTGACCTTTGCGCCCTGCGGTTCCTCGCCTTTCTTCCCAACGTGATACTTGCATTAACTGAAAATCCAAGTTCGAAGTGTGTCCTGCTCAGCCGTCCCACTCGGGTGCTGAGTGTGATCCCCTTCACAGGGGCGCTGTTTTTGCATGGGAAAGCAACCACCCCAACGCTCCACCGATCACTGGAACATCACAGGAAAGCACCGACCCCCTCTTTGAATCAACTGCCACACCGGCCGCCGGGCCAAAAAACGGTTTTTGACAAATCCCTCAGCTTCAGAACTTCTGATTTCTGATTTCAGATTTTGGCATTCAGTTTTCTTTTCATGGCTTCCAATCATGTGCGTGTTTATGTGTTAGTTATGTTGCTGCCGCGACTCTCTCATCGACAGCACTCAAGGAAGGGCATTGCAACTCTTCAGCTTAATTCGAGATGCATGAACACACACTTACCAACAAGCTAACGCTTAGCACCACCTTACAACATCCTCACCACCGACACCAGCGCTGACACCTTCAACAACAACAAGACAATACCACTCGGCATTTCTTCGCTGCCTTTTGCTGCCGCGCCGCGCCGAGCCATAGCTACGACCACGACATGCATTTTCCGTGGCCCTATGCTCACACCACGCCACCACCACTACCTACTACACAACCTCAACCCACATGGCCGATGCCACAGCCATCAACTGCACCCACCTATCCCTCGACACAACCACCGGCATACCCTCACCTCCAACCACAACCATTTCAACCACAACCGGTTTTATCCGCCCCTACTGCCACCGCACTGACCTACGGCACACCATCCACTTGGACTTTTGTCCCCCCATGTCACGTGCCACCGCAACCCACACATCCAGCTCCAGTGTTTCCGACAGCAGCACCTCCCCCGTCTTACCTGCTGCCACCACATCATCCCACACCACCAGCTGAACTTCCTCCCCCCACTGCACTGACACATCCCCCTCCAACACAGCAACAGACTGCGATTGCCAATTATCCATCCACAGATCCCCAATGTGCCATCCCCCAGGGCGTTTGGCAACCCTATTCAGCTTTTCCCCCCCGTCACACAACCTCCACTCCAACCGGGGCCCCCGCCACCACCTCCACAAATTACCACTGCCTCAACGCCAACCCAACCTCCATTTCAACAGCAGCTACCATCGGATCCAACACCACCGATCCAACCCATCCCCACGACTGCCCAGGACAATCCACTACCAGTCCAAAACACACCGGCCACCGTATCCCAACATTCAGCATCCCCCTCGCTGGTATCTGCCACACCAGCACCGGGACCTTCACTACCAGCACCAGACAAACCTGCCACCACTGCCTCACCAGCACCACAACCACCTTCCCCACAACCACCACACAGCAGTCGCCGCCACCATCACAAGAGCCGACGCAAGTCCGACCATCACCACAGAGGACGCCACCGCCACCGCCGCCGACATCGCCATCACCACCATTCCAAACACCACAGCAAAACCAGGCGACGGCGTTCGCCTTCCACATCCACCTACACATCTAGCCTCACACCATCCCGCAGTCGGTCCCCACCACAACCCATTGATCTACGCCCAAACACCGAACACGCGAACCCTGATCCCTCTCAATATCCCACCACAGCCGTCATCCGTCGCCCACTCAACCGTTGGCGACCTCCACCCAACTTTCACACCCTCACACCCGCAGACCAAATCCTGGAATGGCTCGAATTCCACGCCACCCAACTCGACAATCCCAACAGACCACAACACCAGTACATTGCCAATATCCTCACAGACTGCAACATCTCCTCCAAGGAGATCAACGATTTCCGCCAATACACCCACGCTAAGTGGAACGACACAACTCACCAATACGACCAATTCCAGTACTATGCCATTTCACTTCCCTTCCTCAACACCAAAGCCACTACACCCGAGCCACCTGCGGTTTCCCGCGCCACATCAACCCACCGGGAAGTTGCCCACATCAACGCAGGCCACACAGGCCCCGTCGGCAACATTTCCAACATTCTACGCCAAGGCCGTTTTCTACCCAGCACACTCCACTTTGCCAACTACCCTGGATTTTTTGCCCAGGGCGTTCGCATCACCCACAACCAACCCCATGACCACAACGAACTTGCCCGCATCATCCACAACACCTGGCAACTCCACAAGAACTCCCATTCCCTTATCATCACACTCCTTGCTTGGGGTGCCGCCACAAAGTATACCTCTGGACGCTATGAACCTCCTTAACGACCACCATGGTGCGGTCTTTCATCAGAAGGGCCGCTGCTGGGTGATCCACCCGGACCACGCCATTGTCAAAGGACTGGCCTGGTCCACCAACTCCACCCCACCGGACCCATAACGCCACTGCCACACATCCACACACCACTACCACCTCCACATCCACTTCTGGTCTCACACCACCACCCAACCTTTGCTGTAGCAGCAAAAAAGAGCCTCTTGCAGCAGCCACGGGCCTTTTGAACCCTTCATTTTTCTAGCTCCGCAGTATTTGCTGAGAATCTTTTGAATTGTATCGGCTGTTTTGCAGGAGTCTTTCACATGTCAGTTTCTGCGTCGTGGAGAGTGATTCTTTAAGTCATGTACTCGATTGTCCAATCTGCATTGCGTACTCACCCTTTTGCCTGTGGGAATTTGATGCTCGCTTAATTCATATGCACGGCCTCGGAATGATGTGCTTCCTCAGACTCGCCGCTTTCCGGCTGCTTTGGCGCGCTGCCGCAGCAACCTGTGACGATTCTTGACTACTGCACACCCCTACATCTCAGCCCCATGAGCAGCAAGCTGACACCTCTACAAAACGACACCGCAACTCTACTACGCAAAACCGCAGTGGCACTTTCCCAGGTGCACAACCTGCTTCGACAAGCAACAGATATTGTAGCACACCTTCACACGGTTTTCCTCCACCACAGCCACCAAGCAGACCCCACTTTCCGCCAACACTTTCAGCCACTTCCAACTCCACCCAATCACCCCATACGTTTACCATCCACCACCTCATCCTGTGACTCAGCACCATCCAGACCACCCATCCGTCCACCAGCACCACCCTTACAGGATTCAGACGACACTCCAACAACAACCCCTGTTCCACAACCCACCACAACACGCAAGCGGAAGCAACCACCCCCACCACCACTCAACCAACACGCCGATTGGGACGCTTGGGACGGCGACGCTGATTGTCGCCTGGTCGAACTCAAAGAAAACCCAAAACTTCGTCCCAACTGGACTACTGTGGCCCGCCGAGTGGGTTTCTCCGTTGCGCAATGCCAAGCCCGATGGCAAGAACTCAAGGACATGCAACGACAGCAAGACCAGCAACTTTTCTCCACACCACTACCACCTGCACCACCACGGCAAGCACCTTCCCCCCTCGCCAACACCTACATCACCAGCAGTTTCCCCAGCACCACATTCACAACCGGACTTCTCCCCTTCCCCCGCCACAACACCACCGACTTCACAATATCCAACGACTCCAGCTGCTGCGCTGCTGCCGCCGGCTGCTGAGCGACCGCTTAGTGAAGACAGTCATCCGGCGAAATCTCCACTCACGCCAGTTGGCAGCTATTTCATTTGATCCGTTTCACCCACTTCCCTTACGGCGTGCCGCACGACAAATCCGCTGACATGCACTGAATTTTGATTTTTGTTTATTCACACCCAATTTATGTTCACCCAGTTGCCCACCTTTGATTTTACAGTTTTCAGGCTCACCTCAGCTCCGCAGCCTTTTGTACGCCATCACAATCCATCACTTGTCATGGCCAATCCTCGCGCTCGCCCTCATAGCAACTCTGACGATACAGAACACTACCTCCCACATTGCCCTCCGAGCTGGCTCCAACCTTCGATTTGTACCCAACCCGATTTTCAATCCCTCAACGGCTCTTTGGACCTCCTATCTATGGTCAACCAACATCTCCGCCGTCACCCATTCCACACTGAACCTATGCCAAGCCGTACTCACTTTCAAGACCAGAGAGCATACAACCTCCTCTACCGACTGCGCGGCGACCTGATCTTGCTAGACCG